CACGTTCCGTAGCGCGTCCCCTTGGCACGTCCCGCGGTGCGTCCCCATGGCACGTCCTTTGGCACGTCGCTTGGCGCGTCCCTTGAGACGTTCCGCGTCGCGTCCTCCTGGCACGCCCCCCTGTCAAAAAGCTCCGGGGCAGCTTCTATGTGTGCAGGCAGCTCGAGCTTAAGATCCAGATCAGTTCGGTCAGGACTCGGATGCAAAGGAGGACTCGATACTGAACGCTATAGAGCACAATCGCGGCATGGCACATCGCAATTCAGCACGGCGCAGCACAGCACAGATTTCGACACGGTACATCAAGCTCGTTACACTCAGCATTGCATTTGCCCGTCACCCAGTCAGGTGTCTTTGAAAACGTTGCCACGCGTGACATTTCTATATTCCTTTCCGGGTTCGTGGGTCGATCATGTTTCGGAAAGGGCGCGGGCCTAGGGTTTTCTTTCGGTATTGTAATCTTGTGCCTGGGTACCATGTTGATGAATGACAAGGTCCGGGGAGGCCGGCGGAACTATCTTTGAGGATGTCCCGAGCGAAACGTTTTTTGTGTAAAGTGCACATGTTCGTTTCGGATGTCTCGAGCGAACCGCTTGTTTTGCAGAATGTGTTGAGGATGTCTCGATCGAAACGCTTGCTTTGGAGACGTGGAGCGGCCGTCCCTGTCGCCCCAGTCCTTTTTGCTTCAGGGCGGAACAAGCGTGAAAACACATGGGTCCTTTTCGCCTCAGGGCGCGGCAAGGGTGAAATCACGCAGGTCCCATTCGCCTCGGGGCGGAACAAGCGTGACAACACTCCCTTACGCTTGCTCCGCTTTGAGACGAGAAGGGGCCCACGTGTTTTCACGCTTGCTGCGCTCTGGGGCGAAAGTCACCAGCGACAGAAGTACCACTACGACCAGCAAGGGGGTTGGCTGTCCCAGCCTCTCGAGCTGGTGGCACCTCGTTTCGGGCATGCCTCCAGAGAGTTCCCGGAAGGAGGTGCCACCACCTCGAGGAGAGGGAGCGGCCACCCCTCTAGCTGGTGGTAGTGTTTTTTTTGTTGTCTCTCCTGAGAAGGGGCCCGCGTGTTTTCACGCTGGTTGCGCCCTGGGGCGAAAGGGGCCCAAGTGTTTTAATGTTTACATCGCTTTGGAGCGAAAGGGACCCACATGTTGTCACGCATCCTGGCCACCCAGGGGCGGTCTCCCCCTCACAAATGTGGCGGAGGGCACAAAAGCAGAGCAAATTCAACGAATCGGCGTTCGATGCGCAATCACTTGGCACGTTCCGTCTTCGGGCTCTGGGGATGCCTCCTGGGGGTCCCTGGAGGGGACCCACGTGTTTCTCACGCTTACTGCATTCTGGGGCGAAAGGGGCCCACATGTTTTCACGCGTAATCCGCTCTGGGGCGAAAGGGACCCATGTAATTTCACGCCTGCTGCGCTCTGAGGCGAAAGGCGCCCAGGTGTTCTCACGCTTGTTGCGCTCTGGGGCGGAAGGGACCCGCGTGCTTTCACGCTTACTGCTTTCTGGGACGAAAGGGGCACACGTGTTTTCACGCTGGTTGCGCTCTGGGGCCAAAGGTGCCCACGTGTTGTCCGCTCTGGGGTGACAGGGACCCACGTGCTTTCACGTTTACATGGCTCTGGAGCGAAAGGAACCCACATGATTTCACGTTTGCTGCGCTCTGGGCCGGAAGGGGCCAACGTGGAAACCGCCCTCCCAAAAGTGAGGGAGGACATAAACGCAGAGCAAGCTCAACGAATCGGCACTCGATTCATGATTGGCACGTTCCGTCTTGGGGCTCTGGGGATGCCTCCTGGGGGTCCCTGGAGGGGACCCACGTGTTTCTCACGCTTACTGCATTCTGGGGCGAAAGGGGCCCATGTGTTTTCACGCGTGCTCCGCTCTGGGGCGAAAGGGACCCATGTAATTTCACGCCTGCTGCGCTCTGAGGCGAAAGGTGCCCAGGTGTTCTCACGCTTCTTGCGCTCTGGGGCGGAAGGGACCCGCGTGCTTTCACGCTTACTGCTTTCTGGGACGAAAGGGGCACACGTGTTTTCACGCTGGTTGCGCTCTGGGGCCAAAGGGGCCCACGTGTTGTCCGCTCTGGGGTGACAGGGACCCACGTGCTTTCACGTTTACATGGCTCTGGAGCGAAAGGAACCCACATGATTTCACGTTTGCTGCGCTCTGGGCCGGAAGGGGCCAACGTGGAAACCGCCCTCCCAAAAGTGAGGGAGGACATAAACGCAGAGCAAGCTCAACGAATCGACACTCGATTCATGATTGGCACGTTCCGTCTTGGGGCTCTGGGGATGCCTCCTGGGGGTCCCTGGAGGGGACCCACGTGTTTCTCACGCTTACTGCATTCTGGGGCGAATGGGGCCCACATGTTTTCACGCGTGCTCCGCTCTGGGGCGAAAGGGACCAATGTAATTTCACGCCTGCTGCGCTCTGAGGCGGAAGGCGCCTAGGTGTTTTCACGCTTGTTGCGCTCTGGGGCGGAAGGGACCCGCGTGCTTTCACGCTTACTGCTTTCTGGGACGAAAGGGGCACACGTGTTTTCACGCTGGTTGCGCTCTGGGGCCACAGGGGCCCACGTGTTGTCCGCTCTGGGGTGACAGGGACCCACGTGCTTTCACGTTTGCTGCGCTCTGGGCCGGAAGGGGCCAACGTGGAAACCGCCCTCCCAAAAGTGAGGGAGGACAAATCGCAGAGCAAGCTCAACGAATCGGCACTCGATTCATGATTGGCACGTTCCGTCTTGGGGCTCTGGGGATGCCTCCTGGGGGTCCCTGGAGGGGACCCACGTGTTTCTCACGCTTACTGCATTCTGGGGCGAAAGGGGCCCGCGTGTTTTCACGCGTGCTCCGCTCTGGGGCGAAAGGGACCCATGTAATTTCGCTTGTTGTGCTCAGCGGCGAAAGGCACCCACGTGTTTTCACGCTGGTTTGATCTGGAGCGAAAGGGACCCACGTGTTTTCATGTTTGCTGCGCTCTGGGGCGAAAGGGACCACATGTGTTCACGCTTTTTTCCGCTCTAAGCTCACGTGTTTTCATGTTTGTTCTGCTCGGGCGCGAAAAGGACCCACGTGTTTTCATGCTATCCTGCCCTGGTACGCAAGAGACCCATGAGTTCGCACACTTGTTCCACGTTGCCCAGGCGGATCTTGAACACGATGAATTGCTAAGGGTGTTTCGAGCGAAACGCTGGTCTTTACGTGCCCAGGCCGCCCAGGTGGATCACCAACATTGTATGTTTTGAGGGGATCTAGGGCGAAACGCTCGCTGTGCAGGATCTGCTAGGGGATGTCTCGAGCGAGGTCCTCGCCTGCAGCGAAAGGCTCCGTCTGCAGGATGTGTTGAGGATGTATTTCGCGAAATGCTGGTTGCCCCGTTGTTTGAGGAAGTGTCGAGCGGGGGCCTTGTCGTCGTCTCGGTGCTTTTCGTTTCGGTTCGGATTCGCCCCTTGATCGGTTCGTCCCATCTCGGAACTGAATCGGATTTTGAGGTCGAGCTGGCCGAGCGCCCCGCGCGTCTCGACTAGAACTCGCCCGAGCTATGAGTTCAGGCAGTTCGAGCTCGAGATTCAAGTCAATTCGGCCACGATTCTGACGCCAAGGACGGCTGGATCCACAATGCAATAGGGCGCGGCACGGTTCAATGCGGCGTGACACGTTGAATTCAGCACGGCGCAGTACAGCACAGCCCGTGGCACGGCACAACACGATTTTTAGTCTGAGCAATGCAATTGCCCGTCGCCCAAGTTAGACGTCGTGTGAACGATGTCATGCTGGACATTTCTACATCCTTTTCCGGATTCGTGAGTCGATCATGTTGACCCGACATCCGGCGTCTCGAAAAAAGAGGCAGCCATATTGACGGCATGTTCGGCCTTTGGAGATTGTTTTCGGGCCTCTGGACCGCCACAATTTCCTCTGGGCGTGTGCTCGCGCATCGAAAATATCGGAGCGCCAGATGTCTGGGTCTGGGGACAAATATCGCGCAAGTTACGAGGGAGCGTGGGCGCGACGACACGACTAGAGTGTAATTTACCAGGGTTCATAGCGTCAGGGACGGAGATACCACGTACATGCATACTCTTTTTCGATGGTGTAACTTACGGTGGTGTATGGCCTCGGGCATGCGCGCATCGCGTGATTTACGATGGTTCATTGTTTCGGGGCGCCAATCTCATTTATTTTTTCGTGTCGCACGAACCCCGCAGGAATTCTGAGACCCCCCCGAGGGCGTGGTGTACAGTGGTTCGGGGCCCCCCATTCATCTCGCGGACATCAACCATTTTCAGCCGGAAGCAAGAAGTAGAACCATCACAGTGGGAATTGGAATTTGGAATTGGCGCAGAGAGCAGCAAGCCCCACAGGGGGGCCAGCGGAACGCGTTACCCATTCTTCCCACAAGTATTCCATGTGGCATTGTTTTCGTCTCTCACCTGAAAATGCGCGAATGTGTTCACATCTCTTTCGAGCAATCTTTGTTGTCGCACGCAGGATGTCTTGATGTTCTACTTCCTGTGCTATGTTTCGATCGGCACGTTCTCGGATATCCATGAACTGTGCTCCCTCGACAGCATTGGCCACATGTTAGGATCTGCGCTGGTTCTGTCGTTTAGAATGGCGCTCTCGCCTCAGCGTGGGGCACTTTTTGTGTATCCGATCCCTTCCTCGTCGTTGCTATCCCGCTCCTGCTTTCGCTGATCCGTTCTCGCATTCCTAATCCTGTCAATGCTGCTGGCCCCCCTCCTTCATATCATGTTCATTCAATTCATCTTCTCATCCGCCACCTTCTCCTATGTAACATTTTTCTGGATCGCGCATGACACGATGAGGCCATTTCGGGGATGACTGTCCTCCAGGACACCCCACGGGTAGAATAGAATTCAACGGCATGGGAAGGGAAGGGAGGGATGAGTAGGGTGACAGATCTGCCGCGAGCGCACCTAGCTTGTCACCCCTCTATTCGAGACCTTTTCCCCTCTCCCTCCCCTCCCCGCAGAGCGCCAAGATCGAGGTGGGCGCCACCGTGGAGGTGGTCGAAGCCTTCAAGAGCAACAGCAAGGGCGACAGAGCCATGCTCAAGCCGGGTCAGAAGGACTGTGCGGTCTTCAGATCGAACTTGATCGTTAATGTTAACATTTGGAGCACGGAGGCTCAATCTAGTGCAGCACACCCTTCGAATCCAACATGCCCAGGGATCACAGGGCCGCGTAGTAGTTAGCATTTCGCGTCTCCCCCATGGAGAAACGATTCCATTGCGATTTGCCGTTTTTTGTGGAGACGTCTACCGTGAAGCAAACATGAGGGAGCGCCAGAGAGGCGGAGGTTGGCATCAGCCCGATCATCCGCTACAAATGGAAACGCAGGGGCCCTTCTGAGCGTATCGGCGGCCTTACGAAGCCATTTTGAGGATCTCATTGTGCCTTGCTGTAGCCGTTGAGGCCATCTTTGGGCTACCGTTGGGCCCTCTTGGGGCTTTTCATGATCTCATGTTCCTATCCTGGACTCCATCAGACAGTAAATGGACGGCCCGGATTGCGGGCACCTCCGAATGCGCTCTGCCGAGAGGTGGGGTCGCGGGCCACAACCTTTCTCGAGCCAGAACGGCTTGAACCAGGGGGAGGAGGAGGAGGAGGAGGAGGAGGAGACAATGGAGCAGAGATGGAGGAAATGGACACGAGGAGGGACAGGCCTCTTGGGACTTCTGGGGACGTCTTCGAAGCTGCCTGACGGCCGCTGGGGGCCTCTTTGGGGGGCCTCTCGGGGGTCTTTGGGGGAACTCTTGGAGCTTCCTGGGCCGTCTTAGGGGGTGGGGCTCTTGGCCCGCATATGGCGCCTTTGGCTGTTGTGTTGGGTGTTCCCTGGGCCGTTTTGGTGCTCTTCTGGAGCGATTTGGGGCCGTTCATTGCCCTTTTGAGAATCTCTCAGGCGATCTTGGGGTCCTGTGCTGCCGATTGTGGGCCCCCTTTGGGGTATTATTGGTTGTCTTTGGCCCTCTTGGGTCTTGAGTTGGCAGACAGCAAAACCGGCGAGAGTTTCAGACATCTACAAACACGCGTATATAATATGAACGGCTCGTGCCTCCTCAGACTCTCCCGGGTCGCGTGGAGCCCTTTTGAACCAGATTGGAAGCCTCTTGAGTTGTCTCGAGACAACCACGGGTGCCTTTTGAGCCGGATTGGGCCATCTTTGACAGTTTTGGTCGTATCTCGGTTGTTTTGGAAGTCGTCGTGGAAGCCATCTTGGCCGTTTGGTCGACATGTTAATTGTCGCAGGTGTGCAGAATTGCAGGTTTGTCTGTTTGCCAAACTTTTTCTATGTGGATAGTAATACACGAGTATTATCGCGAATGCCAGTGGACCGTGAGAACTTCCACATTGCGCACCCCGCGCAGGACGACGATCACAGTAAAAGCAGCGTGTGCCAATTTCAGAACCAACTGAGCAGGTCTTGCAATCGTGGCGGTTGGACAGACAGTGTCCAAGCCCATCGCGCCAAGACAACGCTACGACGAAGTGCATCCAGAAAATTGATGGCACGCTCCCCCCTCTAACCTAAAGTTGACAGCGGTGCGCGCTAGGCAACGCGCGACGGTCAAATTGTGGACATTCCCACTTTTGGTTTAGGTGGGAGGGGGGCTGGGACATACGCTATGCACGTTGCTATCCATATACAACATCGCGCGATAGGGTTTTCGCGCTGTTGATGCGGGCACCGGTTGTCTTGCCACCGTCCCCGGTAGATGTGTTTAGTGGCCCCGTGGGTGCCAATGGGCATGCGTGCGCATATGCAACGCAGCGTGTGCTGGTGCATTCGCACGCGCAGACCAATACACAATCGTTCGCCTAGGTACGCGCATGTGGAACCACTGCATACCCGCGGGACCACTGCTGGACAACCCAGGGGACAATCCAAATAACCGAGCGAGCAGCCCATGGGACAGCCTGCGGGGCAACGGCGGGACAACCCACGGGACAGTCACGGGACAACCCACACATCCCTAGGGCGAACAACGTGTTTCGGGGCCTGAACATGATGCCTTCAACTCTTGCGCCGTCGCGCGCGAGATCATGTTCGGTTGGTCGAACTAAGTTGGTGGCGCATCCAACTTTTGTTATATGTGTGCGTGTGTGTGTGTGTGTTGCGGTGGGTTCGATTCCCGCCTGCGCGGATCCTATTTATAGTGTTGTGGGTTTGCTGTCTGTCGTGTTGTTTAACGCGGCTCGAGTTATATTATGTTTCAAACATTGTATAACAGGTTCTAAGCCAGGGGCGGAGTGAAATTGGATCCGCAATATCCAAGCCCGCCCCTGTCAAGATTCGACGGGTGAAGGGGGTTTGGGTACAAATTGCCACAGGCAGATCGCGCGTCGTCTCACGGACCCCAATCAGCCTCACCGCATACGGGTCGCACACGACATGAATGAATGCATCTCGTTTCACCCCCCAGTTGCTCTGGAAGCAAATTGCCCAGCGTCCAACGGCGCCGACGCCCTCTCGCCACCCGCTTGCCGCCTTCGGTGCCCCAAGGGGGAAATGCTTCTACGTAAGTGCAACCCGAGCGCGAGGTTGAGACCAAACTCGAGCCCAGGCCCAGGCCAGAGGCCAAACCCGATCCTGAGCGCGCGCGCGCGCGCCCCCGTGCGTGTGCGCTCGGGTGCGTGTGCGCCTCCGACATGTTAACATGCGGTAAACGCTCCACTGTCAACAACACTGATTATAGACTGCCTCACAGGAGGCCAAGACGGCCCGGTGAAGACATGTGACGGCATTCCTATATCTCTTGATGATTCTCCTCATCACCATTATCATCATTCGAATCCTCACCATCATCATTATTGTCAGCAGCATCACCATCAACATTACCATCGCCATCACCAATCTGATCACCACCCTCATCACCAGCATCATTCTCATCATCGCCATCAGCATCAACATCGTCACAATGACGGCTCGCCCACCCTCGAACAATTGTCAGTTATAATGTTGGTTTGACACGTTGGCGGGATTTGTCGCAAGCAGTTGGATAGTGTAGTTTCGTGGAGGCGTGTTGGAAATCATGCTGATCCATACTATCTTGGAGGCCATATTGCGCAATCCGAGGCCCTCTTATAGCAATCGTTGACCCAACTGGGCGCCCCCCTCTCTCCGTCCAGATTCAGGGGAGTTGGTGGGGAAGAGGGATATTGGAAGAAGAACTGCCCTGAACCACCTGCGCCCAAAAGGTTGATGGGATCAAGGCCAGGCCCAATGGCCATTGGAGTGCACTGGGATCCAACGGCTTCGAAGTCAAGTCCGCCGCGATGGTAATCTCGGGAGGGTCGGGAGGCCACACCCCAAATGACCACATTCTACACACGGCGTGTGCTGTGTGCCTGCCAAACCAGGCTTGGCGTTGAAGGTTATGGTTCATGTTCAAATGGCGTGCAAGGCGCCGAGGGTGATGGTTGCCAGCTGTGCCCGCAACGTGTTCTGCCGCCTTCGCCACGCCAAGCGTTCGAGCCCTGAGAGGGTGCTGCAGCACAGCCGACAAAGTTCAAGTCAAAACTCGTGCTTATCGGAACGTGACAGAATGCATCATTGTAGATTGTTTGTTGAACACGCCCATCAAACCCCTCTCGATGGCAAGCCCTTGGTCAAGCATCCGCGCCCCGCCCACAGGGAACCGTGGTGAAGCTCGACGAGGACGGCGATGCCTTCATCAAGTTCAACGACCACAAGGATAAGGATGCATGGGTTCTGCGGGCTGTGCAGAAGCAGTGATTGTCAGGATGGCCATGGCGATAATCACCACAATGATGGTGCTGACGATGTGAAGATGTCGCACGGTCAGAGGTCATAGTGGTTCTTAGGCGTTCCGATATTCGTTGAGCAGTTTCATACGATACCGCCAGCCCGCTTAGTATGGATGATCGTTTTCCCAAGGGTACCCTTACATCCTTGCCTCTTCAGTCATTTTCGGTCCATCCCCAAGCACTTCCAATTGCCAGCCCCGCTTGAGGAGCCTCGGCATGCGTGTCGAAGGCCCTTGCATCCTTACCGCGCATTCGCATTCTACGTGTGATTGGTGGCGGCATGGACAAAAATACCGGTCCAAGCTCGCCAGCATGGTCGGAGTACCGATGATTGCAGTGGTTGAGGGTCCTATTCGACAAACCATTCACCAACGATATTCTTGCCACGACCTCCGAGCTCGCGTGCCACGCCACATTCTAAACTGTCGCGAAGCCCCACGTGGGGCGTGCGAAGGAGAAAGGCAGGGGAAGAGCAGGATAGGAGGAGGGGCAGGCAGGAGGGGGAGGCGAGACCAAGAGCAGCAGAACCAGAAATCAGAAGGGACTGGTACTGACCAGGAGAAGGAACGAACATACATGGGGGGACCGGGAAGAGAGAGTGGGGAAGAAGGTGGAAGCAGGAGGGCGGAGGAAGGAGGGAAGAGGGAGAAGGGAGGGAGAGAAGAGGAATTGGGATGACGGACGAGGGATGGATCAGGGAGGAGCGGATAGCAGGAGGGCACAATCGAGCAGAACGAGGACACAACGATGATTAGGATTGCAACTAGGACGAGGACGGGGACAAAGGGGGGCAAGTGGAAGCCTGTGGATGGGGGGGACAGGAGGACAGGAATGTGACGGTCGCATAGAGTATTTTGGCGCGGGTGTCGCGCGGGGTTGGAGTGAGTTGGCGCGTATAGCGGATTTTACGCATCGCGGTCTCGGGCCATCGTTTTGCTGAGCAAACTTGATGTTTCGATGCCATGGCCGCGCGCCCGCGTTCGAAGTCGTCGAGCGATTCAACGCAATGATGAGTTCCTGCGCGATGCGCCAACTTTTGACATGGAGAAAATGAAGCGGGCCATTCGTCGATGCGGACGGTTCTGTGTTCGCTCAGATGCCCCGGCGCGCCGCCTCGCCGCCCGATTGGCTCGACTAGACGTAAGAGTGACCTTTCGCCGGAGTGACCTTTGGTGCGGGCCCAGTGGGGTCCCCCGATCGCCGAACGCGAGGCGGCAGTGGCGTCTTGCGCGCTTGTGTGTGGCCCCCCCGCGGACCCCAAAAAGCCGCGCACCAAAGGTCACTCTTACCCAGGGTCACTCTTGCGTGTAGTCGATTGGCGCCCTGCCAGGAACTCGGATAAGGTTCGCGCGGGGCTCGTGTGACCGCCTCGTGTGCGGTACTTCCCCCCACCAGGTTTTCATGTACTCATCGCTGCGCGTCTTCTCGGCTCGCGTCCCTGGCCCGCGCCCTTCCGCCCCGTCCAGTTCGAAGAGTTCCTCAGGGAGCCAGGCGACGCGGGGGCTGCGCGCCGTGCGTTTCTGGGCGGCCCCCCCCCCCGCGCGCCGTGCAAGTCTTGCACTGACGAACAAGCTGCGCCGAATTCGCCAATTACGGGAGTTATCCCCGTGCCCGGAAATTGCCAACCGCATCATAAGTTGTGAGCTCGCCTTTGCTAAAGTTTTGGGCTACGCCAGACAGCCAGGTCTTGCGGAAGTAGAACGGTTCCACCTCCAGACGGGTCTCTTCCTTCTCCCAGGCGACTGGTGGCCCAAACCCCTCGGACAGCACGAAGTTTTCGCCTCTCGAGTTTTTAGAGTTTCTGAGGCCGCGGGCCCTGTTTCTATTGCTCTGTATATATATATATATATATATATATATATATATATCACGGGGGGGGGCAGGCCCGGGGCCCGAAAACAGCTGCCTTGACCCTGCATGGGAGTACCGGGGCTAATTTCCCTTGTGTTTTTACATGTTTTCGGCGTCCCGGGCCTCGGAGGCCGCCGCGATGGTCCCGGCGCGGGCTTCAAGACCATTCCGCAGAGGGCTCCAACATGCTCCAGGGCAGCCCAAGAGGGCTCCAAGACGGCTCCAGGAACGACTGCAGGCTCTCATTTTTCTTATGTTTTCTGCAAGACGGCTCCAGGAAGATTGCATGTCTTATGAGGATGGCTTCCGCCGCTTGCCCCGAGCATCCCAAACTGCCTGAACGGTTCCCACTCGCCTTCCCCAAACCCAGCGCTTGCCCAAGCGCGTTCCGGACGGTCTTCGCCTGAACGCGCTGGAATGATCACGCGCTGCGGTTTCCCATGCCAACGTCCTCGGACGTGGGCGCCCTGCCACGAGCGCGTTCCGGGAAGATGCTCTCGGAACGCGCTGAAAAGATATAGTCAAATCTCGGGGACGCTCCTGGCACCGCTCCCCCAGCCTTTCCGGGGAGCCTTCACAGCGCTCCAGGAGGGCCCAAGACGCCCCCCAGGAGCCCCCAGAATGCGAAAGGATGGCCCAAGAAGCTCCCGAGCAGCCCAAGTCAGCCTTCCGACGGCTCTCGAGGCTCCCAGGTGGCTTCCAAGAGACCCCAAGAAGTCTGATAGGTATCACGGTACGGCCCGAAGAGGCCAAAGTCGTATATGTTCAATGGTCTTTTTAATGTTTTTGGTTTCTCGCGTTTTCGAGCTTCCAACGGTCCAAGAGCGCCGAAAAACCTCCCAAGACCGCCCCGAGACCACCCAAGAGACCCTCAGCACGGCCCCAAGACGGGCCAAGAAGGCTCCAAGACTGCCGAGGAGGCGCCCAGCACAGCCCCAGACCACCCCAGCACAGGCCCAAGATGGGCCCAAGAGCGGGAGCAGGAGGCTTCCAGAGACCTCCGAGAGGCCTCCGGGACCCGCCAGAGGCCCCCAACACACCCCCGATCCTTGAGAGGCCCCAAATAGACCCCGACGAGGCTCCAAGAACAGCCCAAGAGAGCTGCGAGAGCCGTCCCCAGAGAGCCCAAAGAGGGTCAAATCGTTGATTTCCTAAGGTTTTTCCTATGTGTTTCGCCTTTTCAGGTTTTCCCGCTTCCAGCCTTCAGAGATCAAGCATTTGGGAGAAAAGAGAGGGAATTGCAATAATTCCTTTTCTCCATCAAAGTGGAACTCCTACTCGGGGGTCCTACATATCCCCTGACATCTGGCCGGTACCGCGCCTCTCGGCTTCTTAACGTTTTCGCGGAGTCTCCGAAGGTCCCAAGGAATCCGGGAATTGTGGATTTGGGTTAGATGCTCATCCATTCAGGATTCAGGACAGAAATTCATGCGCGAACCAAGCATGTCCGTCTCTCGTTCAAGTGCCGTGTGGGATAAGTAATGGTGGGGTATTTAATTGCATGGCGCTCAGCGCCTTTCACGCAGCAGTATCCAGCGAGCTGCAGCCCAAGGTAGCAGCTCATGTACAGCGCTGGCCGCTGCATCCCAGGCACTTTCTATTCAGAGCAAGCGACGCCCGCTGGCCGCCAAGATGGCCCCTTAGTGGTCCAACCGGACGTCCTGGGCGAGATCTGCAGCGGAGATGCGGGTTCGGCCTTGGCGCCGCTTCGTCTGCGCCGCGCGCCCTCAGCAAGGGCTGGCGTCCCGGGCGTCGGAAGTCGTTCGCGCCAAAATGCGGTTTGCATCATTCGGTCTGCGCCCAACAAAAGCAAACATTTTCCTTGCCATGGCGGTCACTATTGGGGCTGCGTCGGTCAACCTTTCGGCGCCTGCCTGTGCGTTGTAATCCAATCGCCAGCTCCGATAGGTCGTCGCCAGAATTTCGCGGCGCCGCGCAGGGTACTCGGCTAACGGCTAACTCAGGATTCCGTGCGCTGCCGTCCGGCCATGTTGGCGCAGGATCTGCATGGGTGACTTCTCGCACCCCAGGCCAATCCACCCAGCCTCCCGGACGGGAAATGGAGGGAGCTGAAGAGGAGGAGGAGGAAGACGCTGAGGAGGAGAAGGGTTCAGGATGAAGACGACGATGACGACGAATCCTAGGAAGAGGAGAGTTCTCGGCGGGTGAGAGAGAGGCAACAGGAGAATGAGGAGAGGGAGGGATCATGGGTAACTACCGCTTTAGGGCGGCTGATTTCCGCGAGACAAAGGATGGTCGTCGCAGGAGTGGGTGGTCACAGCGAACTTCCACAAGCTGCGGGTCGTCCCGAATTATCCCGAGGCCTCTTTTCGTCGATTGTCTTGTTAAACGAGTCGTCTTCATCAGTTTTTCTGTCTTCCTCGCCATCCCTCTATTTGTCCACCCGTCCAGCTCTCCGTGCTTCGTTCCACCTCTCCTATTTCTTCCCTTGTCGTCCTTCCTGCCTCTTTTCTCTCTCCTTCCCTCTCTTCTCCATCCCTCCGTTCTCGTCTTCCTCGTCATGGGGACCTCCTTGTCTTCCATTCCCTCTTCTATCCTTATGTTGCCCCCCCTCCTTGTCCTCCCTCCTCCCCTCCTCCTTATTTTGCCGCCCCCCCTGTCTTCTCTCCCTCCTGACTCCACTTGTTCTCCTGCTCGCTCTTGATATTGCCTCCTCCCTTCTCTGATGCTGAATGATGATTCCTGTGTTGTCTTGGGGTGCTTGCCCATGCGCCAGATATTAGAGTTGTCACTAGTTTCGAGGCATCATCGGATCTTGATATAAGTATGGATTGCGAGGCAGCCCGAACATCGGAGTCTGGGTTTGAAACCGACTTTGCATACTACGTATTGAGATTCTAGGGGTTTGCAGATATACAAATATCGAGTCATGTCCGGTTGTTTGCAACGAGCCCCGTCATTGTGCCATTACAGCATCGAGATACATGCAGCACCGTGTTACCGATTGTTGTTTGATCCCTTTCTTGTTTCTCTTCCCCCGTTTGCTCCTCGTCCTTTCTCTCCTTGTCATACGGTGTTCCTCCCATTCATTCGGATCCTGCTCCTCATTCTCCCGAGGAAGCGCGGGAGACGCGAAGCACGGAGAAGCGTTGCAACCGAGGAGCGCTCTTTTGGGAGCCTTGGCGACTGGATCGCGTGTTCTAGGCTGGTCGGGAGGAGCGGAGGGCTGGGGCGAGCCAGTCATGCCACCTGTCTATCACTCATGTTTCCCAAGGCGGCGAGGTAGGGAGAGCATGTGGTAAACGGCGAAGAGGAGGAGAGGGGATGAGGGTTGTGGAGGGAGGTGGGGGAGGGGTGAAAAGAGAGGAGGGCGGATGAATGAAGGACGGAGAGAGAGAGAGAGAGAGAGAGGATGGAGGAGGAGGAGGAGGAGGAGGAGGAGAAGGAGGAGGAGGAGGAGGAGGAAGAGGACGACGAGGAGGAGCGAGAAGAGGAGGGGAGGTTGACGACCATCAAGCAGGCCTTGGATGAGGCTCCCAGAGCGTTCTGGCACGTTCTGGCACCGGCCGCGGCGCCCGATACATCCCCCAGACCCGCCCGCGGGCGAGGACGAGATGAGGGGGGACGAGGGGAAGGCGAGGTTGAAGGGAGGAAAAGCAGAAGTGGCGGCGGCCTGCAGGAGCACGAGCGGGAACGAGAGCCGCGTTGGCTCCCCAGATTCAGGCGATCGCAAACATGGATTGAGGGGGCGTGGATTAGCGACGGGTCCCGTTTCCATAGGAAATCGCTGATTACCGCCGCCGAGCGAGGCGCCACCAGACGCATTTCGGTGAGAGCACTTCCCCGATCCATGGAGTTCGCGACCGCGCGCCAAACCCATGGATCGCTAATCCATGTCTGTGCCCCCCCGACAGATAGATTTCCCCTTGGATTTGGGCGTCGCGAAAAAATAGCAACGGCCAGTGCTTCCTCGTCTTCTGCTTCTGGAGGCGATGCCCCGACTGCGGGGCAGTCAAACAACGACACGCTTCAGAATGAAAAGCCAGCCCAGGGGAGTTGGTCGCGATCCCAGAGGTCCGCCGTCCGATTTGGGAGGAGAGAGGTGGTCGCAGCACGCCGCAGGAGTTCTAAAAATAAACGTCGGCATGGCATCAGCATAAATGCTTGGAGGTCCGCGCGGACCTGCAGATGTCCCTTCTTCTATATCAGCCCACCGCAGGAGTGGCGCCGCAGCCGGCGGTGGCCTTCTCCCCGCGGGGGACCCCGCAGCAGTTGGCGCCTCCAGCGCAGGCCACACATTGCCGCTGCCGCTGCTGCTCGGAGGAGGAAGAGATACCGATGCCGCTGCCCTTCCTAGTTTTCGCACTTCCTGGGTCTACGGATGGTCCCTCGCCGCCACAGCTGGATTCGCCTTGAAATCTTGGTCAGAATGCTTCCCAGGGAAAGCTCCAGGGACTAGCTCCCACATCCTCCTTGTTCTCCTCGTCCGTCGTCACCATCATCGTCCTCGTCAGTCATCGGCATCCCCAGTCCCGAATGGGCATATATTGCGGGGCCACAAAAGGCAGCGTTGAGGGCAGCAACGGGGCCACGAATGGCAGCGAGCGAATGCGATCGTCGAACCAGTACGGGCAGCGAGTGGCATCGAAGGCGGGCGAAGGGCAGCGAGCGGCGACTGCAGTCAGTAACGGGCTGGTCGGGTGGGCAGGCCCCGACGGGCGGGTCGAGCGGGCGGGTCGAGCGGGCGGGTCGTTGAAGCGTGAGTCCTGCTTCAACCGCCAGTCAATATGTAGCGGGAGCGTGATTCCTGAGTGTCGAGGACGGGCATCTGAATAAATTGTGAGGAAACATCAAGCGAAGCGGTTCAGGGGTAACTTGCGAGGAAAACCTTAGCGAGAACACGATTCTGTAATAAATTGTCAAGAAGTATCAAGCAGGCCCCAAGTGCCCGCGCATAGGGCGCATTCAGGCATCTTTTCTTGTTTTTTCGATCCCTTCCCCTGCGCCCCCGCCCAACTCCCCTACTTTACCGACTTCCCTCAGCCATGCCGCCATGCCGGATCTGCCCTCGCCAGGGGGTGCAAACCGAGGCGGTCCGGGGCTTCAACTACTGCGCCGGGCATGGAACGGCCGCAGCCCCACGGGCTGCCCCACCCGGGCCGGCTGCTGGCGCCGTGGCGGCGGCGGCACCTGCTACACAGATTGCCGCCGCACCTGCTACACAGGACTCGGAGGGCACTGGGCTGACGCAGACCGCTGCCGGGCTGGTGTTGCTCGACCCGCAGGCCGCGCAGCCCGCCCCAGGGCTGCCACCCCCTGCAGCGCCGGCGGCGCCGGCGGCCCCACCTGCAGCAGCCGCGGCGCCACCCGCGGCAGCCGCCGTTGCCGCGCCGGAGGAGCTCGAGCAGAGCCAGGTGGAGGCCATCGAGGTTGACGACGACGAGGACATCAGGAGGACGTCACTCGATGCTGGTGTCGCCGACGGGGTTGCCCTCGACGCGTCGCCTGCTGCCGCCGCCGACGCCGCTCGAGATGCCCCGCCTCCGGCCCCACATCCACATGGTCCTCAACTGTCCTCGATTCCCATCCGCGACATGCTCTTCCGCGAATGGGCGGACCAGGAGATCACCGTTCATTTCGAGCTCGTCCAGGCGAGGGTGATCAGCGACCCAGTTGTCCGCGATCTCCCGATCGTCCTCCCGAAGGACTTGAACACCCTGAAGCTGATCTGCAGGAAGCTGGTCAATGAGACCGGCGACCCGGACCCGTGGTCATGCCTCGGCCTCGCCAGGTTTGAGGGCCCTGTCCCATCGGAGCAGCTGATTGCGGCACGCTTGCGCACAGCTCTCGCTCTATGTGATCTGACGCTTTCGGGCTCCTGCCCGAGACCGACCGCTCCCGCATTTACCAGATCGTCGGGGAATTCCGCCGCGCGGCCCAGGCCTGCGAGACGGAGCTCTTGGGGGTGCTGGCGGAGCGCCGGAAACTCAAGCCAGTCAAGCTCCCCATGTGGAAGGAGTTGGGCGCCACCGCTTGCACCCTACTCCGTTCCTCCGCCCCTGGCGGGTGCCAGGAGGCTCTCCTCACCCAGTGGTCGTGCCTCCTGGCCGCCGGCGGCGACAGCGTGGGCCTCATGGACACCTCCCGCAGGGTCTCCGAGCTCCTGGACAAGGGGGACGAGAAGGCTTGGGACTTGGCAGCCGGCCAACATGTGGTGGCTTGGGCTCCGGAGGAGGCGGGAGCTTTGGCACGTCTCTTGTCCGCGCTTTTGCGGCGCTCGGACCCGGCCAGACGCCAGGCCAGCCTGCGAATGGTGGTGCCCCTCCCGCTCGTCCACGGCATGAAGGATGTCTTGGGCGTCGCGGACTTGTGGTCGCATCCGCTTCTGGGGCTTAAGTGGGTTCCCGTGGTCCGCTCCCAGGCCTTCTGCACGCAGCCCCTGGACCGAGGCACGTCAAGATGGGCCTCGCGATCTTCGGCATCTCCCTGGACTCACCCCGCCAGGCGCCCCGAATGCTCGAGGCCCGTTTGCCTCTGTTCGTGGTCGGCTCCTCCATCATCGCGACCATCGATATGCCCTCGGACTACCTCCCGCACTTCCTCGCTCTTCTAGCGGACCCGCTTCTTCGAGATTTCGGGGTCCGACAGCGTCGACGTAGCCCGAGGAGTTCACCGGATGTTCCTCGGATCTTCTTAGACCTGGTGTTCCCGACGCCGCGCGTCGAGCTGACCGCCACCATCATCCTAAACCACATCTGCCGTTCCCTGTCGAACACGGTGTACTTCGCCCTGAACACCATTTACGACAACCCGGTGGCGATGATCCTGGAGTTCACTAGCCCCGAGTGCATGCCGCGCTTTGGCCCCTCTGTTCGCAGATGATTTTCCTCTCGCGCGCGAAGGCACTGGTCCTCTCACTCGCGGCTTCGGACACCTGGGCGGGGGTGATGGACCACATCCTGAAGCATGACCCCGAGGCGTCGGCTTCCCGCCTCCGCTGCGGGCCCTCGGCCCTGGGCGACAACCTCCGCGCCGGCTGCCACCCGCAGGCAAACCCGATCGGGAGGAGGCTTGGAACACATGGCGGACATCGTAATCCAGGGGAAGTTGGGCACCAAGGACTCCAAGGTGATCGCGATGCTCATGGACCACGTGACGCCCCAGCTAGGCGTCACGCTGCGGGAGTCCACGCATCCTCAGGGACTCCGCCCGGGGGAATATTTTTCCCCCATGGTCCCGCGACGTTCACGGCCCGCCGGGTCGTGTTCGAGCGCTTCTCCGTGACCGGGAGGAGGTCCGCAAGCTATCCGCAGGACTTCATGGGCAGGTTATCCGGGTCGGCAGCGAACGCGTGCGCGTCGAGATCCTCAACGACCCCCTCCTCCCTGCGCTGCGGAGGCTGGGAAACGGGGCGGGGACGCGGATCTAGCCCCCCCACGCCCCGACGATGTTGGGGACTTCGCCCAGCTGCTTCTCCGGGGTGCAATTCGATGCATTTTGTTAGACGGCTCCGAGTGCTGGCTCATCGAGCTCGCCTTCTCCATCCGCGTGGCAACCGTCGCGCTCTTCGAGATTGGCCCGCCTGGTGCGCCTTCCTCGGGTTCTTGTGCGTCTTCGGCTAGTTGTTCACATTCTTCGAATTCTTTGCACCTCGTCGGCTCTCCTGTCGCTCACCGTGTTCCTCATCCTGATCCGCTTCATCCTGACCGTCTGCGCCCCCCTCTCAGGCCCCATCTATGCTACGATACCTGGCTCCGCTATGTGGGCCCTGTGGGCCAGGGCGCCCCTTCAGCGCGTGCCGTTCACTGCGGCTTCGCCGGGCCGTTGGCGAGCTTCCCAACTCACCAATCGCGCGTCTTTCCCGGAGCACGCCTCCGGCCGCGTGTGCAAGCCCGCCCGTCCCGTCGCCTTGGGCAGTGTCGCGGGGGCGTCGCAGTTGTCTCGTGGAACGCCGAGGCCTGCTTCGCAGTCGCACCTGGCCGCCAGGAGTTCAAGCGCGCTCGCGCGCAGTCCCTCCTGAGCCGCGCGCCGGTGGTCACGGCCACGGAGGCCCGTGGCGGAGGGGGTCCATCAGGCGCGGCGCCCCCCCGCAGGCGGCGTCGGCCTCATTGTCAAGGAGAGCCTACTGCGGAAGTTCGACCCTCAGCCCGCGTGGAGGATCATCCTGCCAGGAAGGGCTGCCAAGTTGGAGCTCCGCGGCCCTGAAGGGTCATTGGACCTGCTGGTGATTTACATCCCGACTGGCTCCAACCTGACTGAGGAGGCGTTCTTCGGCTTCTCGCGGGCCGGGCGGGAGCGGGCTACTTCATTCCGGGATCTCCGCGGACGCCTTCGCTCGCGCCTGGCGCGAGCGGTCGCTCCTCGCCAGCCGGCGCTTACAATTCTGGGAGGGGACTTCACTTACGTCACGGATGCCTTCGACCGCTTCGCGATCGGCGCGGCGCGCTCCACGGGGGGGCGGGGCGAGCAAGAGGAAACGCATTTTCAGCGCGTGCTCGGCACCCCTTTCGGCCTCGTGGAGATGCACCAGCCGGAACCGACGCATGCCTCAGCATCCTCAAGGGCGAGGTTGGATAGGGCAGTCCAGCTTGACAGGCAGTTGCGCGCGGTCGCCCTCGAGTGGAAGCCCCAGCTGTCCGCTCACCGCCCAGTCCTCGCGTCTCGCTCCGCCCCGCAGCGGCGCCTGGAGGATGCGCGGCGCGCCCCTGACTACGCGGTGCAGCATCCCGACTTCATGGGGCGCGTCGCGCTCGAGTTCGAGGACCGCCTCGCTGCCTCCACTTCAATTTCAGGACTCGCCAAACTCCAGATGTTCAAAGAGTCGGTGAAACAGGTCGCCCCCCGCATCGCCGCGGACCACGCCACCCCGCCGGCGGCGGAGTCCCGCGAGGACAGGCTGGGCATCGCCATGAAGCTCATCCGCTCCATCGAGTGCGGGTTCCCGGGCGAGGTCTCGAAGTGCCTCGTCCGCTATCCGTTCCTCGGCGATCTGATCCACAACCCCTGCGACTTCTTTGGCAATTTGTCGATTCGCCTCCGAGCTCTTCGGGGGCGCGCGGCCGACCTCGCTCGCGACCGCGCGCTGGGCGAGCTCGCTGCCGCCTCGACTGCGCCGACCCTGGGGCAGGAAGGGGGGGGCGCGGAGGACGCTTCGGTCTCACGGGCGCGCCGGACTCGCAAGAGGGGGGCTCGCCTTCTTCATCGGCTCGCTCCTGGTCGCTCCACGAGGATAGCAGCGGCGATTGACCCTTCGGGCGTTGTCCAGACGAATCCGGATGGCATGGTCGCTG